GCTCTTTTTGTCTTCAAAAGGATTGAAGTAGAATCGAAGCTCCTGAGAGTAGAACGAATAGTTTATTTAAAATTAATAGCAATTCACCACTTTATTGATTTGATTTTTTTACATTCTATATGAATTTTCAATATCGTTTTCCTACAACATAACGGAAATCCCCCATTAGTCTGAGAAACAATTTGGGTTTGATGCGATTTTTTCTTCATTTTAATTTCAAAGACTCTATTTAACCATTAAAGAATGGCCTGAGGCATGTTACTCCACATCACCGTTCCACCGTTTTCTGCCGTTCTAATCTGTTAAAGAACACCTAACACTCGGAATTCGGTCCTCATCGTTCCTCATCCTATACTTACAATTAGGTATTGCTATGTTGAAGAAAGTGAGAAGAATTTTGCAAAGAAACATGTATCATGAGTTCTCCCAGTGTTACAATTCGTAATACATTCTGGTTTCAAGATAGCGCACTGCTTTCTGATTTGCTGCTCAGAATCGAACAAAAGTGAATGTGAAACGGAGGGAGGGGTCCAGCTAACAATAAGACTTCCCTTCCCCCGAAAAAAAACCCTTCAACCATGATTGACTGAAGAAATCTTTTCCCAAACAACTAGGTTTCTCATTTCTATGGACAAAGGTAATACGATTGTTTAATGGGAAAACACTTATCTCTTCACTGGATGAACCTAAAGACACCTTTTTTTTGAATTCGAAAAACCAAACCGTTTACGACTGATTTGCTTAGCTGAACATGGTTAATCTTTTCGTTGTTCCGAATCCTTTCGTCAAAGTGGTGAAGATTGTTCTAGCCAGCTTTATGACAAGTTCCCAATGGAAGGAGGAGAGTTCGGTTTCTATTTACTCTAATCGTTAAAGAAATCGTTTTTTTGTAAAGCATCATTTATTAATGAACTCAATCGCTCATTTCTACATCATATTCTCTTATTAGACAATATTATTGCGGTTCTTATCGGCGCTGTTTCCGTTCGCCGTAGCCGAACGGTATGGCGGCGCTAAACAGTTCAATCCAGACTATGCAGTTTTTGCGAATCTATGCGGTCAGTTGCCTACGCCTAGAGCTTTGACTATAAAAGCCCGATCACCGAGTCTTAGAATCCATCGACTTCAACGATGACTACCGCTGGCTACGTAGGAGCTGGCATCTGCCTATTTGGTGTACTGTGTGCTCTGATCAGCGTTGGGCAGATCGCCAATGACATTGCTTCTCTTCAAGATGAGTTCAGTGTTGGTCTGGAGGAATTCCGCCTGATCGCTGAGGACACCTGGGATCGCCTACTTATCCTGCAGAGTCCTACCGGCCATTCAGTCAACGCTGTGCCCAGCATCTTCCGTGCCAAACGTTACGTCTATCCTGGACAGTGCAACTGCCAGGAGAATAACCAAGGATGCCCTCCTGGACCGCCTGGACCGCCAGGACCACCTGGTTCTCGAGGAGATGAGGGTCTTGCTGGTGTTGACGGAAAACCTGGAGTCAATGGAAACTCACTTTCTGTCATGTACGATACTCCTGGAGGTACGCCTTTTTTATTTCCTAGACACCTTGTTCACTGTATAGAAATAAACTTCAGGATGCATCAGATGTCCACCAGGGCCTCCCGGTGAACAAGGGCCACCTGGATCAGAAGGCCAACAAGGATTCCCAGGGTCACCTGGAAAAGTTGGACCACCTGGAAGTGACGGAACTCCGGGACCTGTCGGAGTTCCTGGTGATGATGGAGAACCTGGCAAACCAGGATTTGATGGAGCAACAGGACCCGATGGCATGCCTGGCACCACTTCGTTCCCCGGAGCTCCAGGACAGCCTGGTGAACCTGGATGGGCTGGGGAACCTGGTCTACCAGGAAAGGCTGGTGAGCCTGGCCTTGATGGAAATCCTGGAACACCTGGTACCCCTGGTCTTCCCGGAAACCCTGGACATGACGCATTCCCCGGTATGCCAGGACCTGCGGGACTTCCTGGAAAAGTTGGAGAGGACGCCAACTACTGTAACTGCCCAGCTCGTCAAGATAAGGGAGCCGATGCACCACTACTGTCGCCACCTCGCTCTACTGCAGGAGGATATCGAAACCGTCGCCTCTAAAGAGCTGATCGACAGTGACATGATGTTTGATAGAATAAATATGAAATTACTCGAGTTTCGTGTTCTACAAGGAAACAATTCGCTTGTAAATAGGTCTAGTGCCTCAATCAAAAATAAATAAGTAAACAAAATTGTAAAATGCGACACTTCTCTAATTTCTATACAACGGTCTACGACTGTTTAGTTTGATTGCAGACCTATGCAGCAGAGTCTCATCAATATCACTGTATCCAATGTAGGCTTATCGAAACTGCTACTGGCGAAGCAGTCCTGTGTGTAGGGATGAAATTTCGAGTCCTCTGAAGAAGCGATTTCTCGAACCACGACGCTATCAGACCCCTTTGCTACGCAATAATTTAGCTTTTACTAGCGAAAACTATTACATCAGTTAATATATATTAGGAAAGGCGCGTGAAGTTGCAGGCGAAACATTTAGGTAAATAATTTGATAAATATCCAAGATAAGAGAATGATGAACAATATTGAGAATCGCTTTGCGCTTATTTTTTTCTTTGATTTTTTCTTCACTGACCAGCTTTCGTGCCATGTTTCACGCCCTCAATTTCAGTTCAAAGTGGTGGGAACGATAAGATGTGTTCACGCCCCCACGTACTTTTGTATTGTGTGTGACAGTTATCCGAGAGCAACTTCAATTAATTGAACATTTTTATCTGAAATTATCTATATTACAGTACAAACAGAATGATTGAGAATCTGTTCATAGGTCATCAACGACCACAAAAAAAAACATACAACCGTATTTGAAGGCACAGAAATAGTGCCATTCTGAGGCAAAATAAAGCTCTGGGCTCCAATATTGGCGGCAATTTATGGCCTCGGCTAGAGCACTAGCGTTCATTAAATTAGTCCTCAAAAACAATGCCGGGACTGTACACAATAGCAGATGATTTGGCCATGAGGTGGTTTTGGAAGAAAACAGGTTGGTAATGGCTGTTGAGGACGACGCAATCGTATTTCACTTCGACTATGCGTGGGATTCCGATTTGTGGGAAAGTACGGTCAACTAGAGCACGTCAGAGACGCATGGGGAATACTGTACATGGCAAGTAATCGTTAACAATTCTCATTAGACACCGGAAGTAGCAATTGTATTGAATAGTCGAATCTTCTCGCATGTGTCTCGTACAACCCACGTGCAAGCGATTTCTGCATTGCGCGAAATTGCATACTGCGCACAGCAAGCAGCGTTGCCATTGAGAATACGGTTGTTTTGAGAAAACTGAAACAGTTAGTATTAACGTAGCAGAGGAAGTTTGAAAAAGTGCAATTAGTAGGGAATTTTTTTGAATGCAATATAAGCATCTTAGGAACCCCGCCCCTACGGGTATCTCCGCCAACCACGCCCCCTTTTCTTGAATTGTATATGGGAATGAGTTAGCTAGTGTAAGCTTCAAAGTTGATCTTAGCATTGTTCATTCAACATATGTGGCGCACAGCACAGCAAAAAGTGTATACTTGTTGGACCAGTTGAAACTCAAGATCAGCAGCCCTTCCCCGGGTGACCAGGTCCTAAAAGTTGGTCTGTAATTCTTAGAAATCGGAACCTATAAACGGCACTGATTTGAAGCTTGCTCACAAGCGACTTCCCATGTCCTTATCGGTCAACCTTTTTTGTTCGAGCTCTAGGATCCCCAATGCCTCTAAGAAACTACCTAGGCTAGTGAGGAGTAGAAACTCGTAAACTCGGAGTTTCTTTATCGGTTTTTTGTTGTAACTTTGACATGATGATTATTTGCAAGATGAAATCCATTCT